AGTTATGAGGGCTGTTGAGTTATAAGGGGGCTATACAGGGCCTGATAAATGTCAAGTGCCTAAAAAGGCATTTTTTAATCTGGTAGAAAAAAAATCGGAGATGTCTGAGTGGCTGTTACTAAAGTGACCTATAAGAAAGTTGTGTCTGGCCAGGCGCGGTGGCTCACGCCTGTAATCCCAGCGCTTTGGGAGGCCGAGGCTGGTGGGTCAGGTGAAGAGATTGAGACCATCCTGGCCAACGTTGTGAAACGCTATCTCTACTGAAAATACAAAAAAATTAGCTGGACGTGGTGGCAGGCGCCTGTAGTCCTAGCTACTTGGGTGGCTGAGGCAGGAGAATCACTTGAACCCATGAGGAGGAGGTTGCAGTGAATCGAGATCGCACCACTGCACTCCAGCCTGGCAAAAGAGTGAGACTCTTGTCGCAAAAAAAAAAAAAAGTAAGTTATGCCCTAAAAATATTTTTAGATTATTTGGGGATATTAGACATATATGACAAATAAGTAACAGCACAAGTGCCAAGTGACTTGTTGCAGTGATAAACTAATGCTGTTGGACTTCAGATGAAGGAAATATCAAAGCGTTTCCTCACAGTAGTGTTTAGAACAGATCAGCTCTCTGTTACCCAAATTGATTTGAGGCTATGTTCTTCAGCTGACGCCTGGTTGCATCAGAGATTATTTGAATTACAGAAGCCAAAAGCCAAGTCAGTATTTTGGCCGCTTGTTTTAGTAGCTGATCTCCATTAATGTTTAAGATTTTTTTTTTTTTTTTTTTTTGAGACAGAGTCTTTCTCTGTCACCAGGCACCAGGCTGGAGTGCAGTGGTGTGATCTCACTGTAACTTCCACCTCCCAGGTTCAAGCATTCTCCTGCCTCAGCATCCTGAGTAGCTGGGACTACAGGTATGCACCACCATGCGTAGCTAATTTTTGTATTTTTAGTAGAGACGGTTTCACCATGTTGGCCAATGATGGTCTCAATCTCTTGTGATCCACCCGCCTTGACCTCCCAAAGTGCTGAGATTACAGGCGTGAGCCACCGTGCCCGGCCTAAGATGTGTTTATTGTTCTCTCACTCTAGCTCTTTTGCTTCCTGTTTGAAACACAGCAGTATATTAGTCCAAGATACTGTCATTTGATGAAAAATTACTGGTATACATGTGTCATTTATTGAAATTTTTTTACATCACAGATTGAGTAGTTTATTGTTCCAGCTGAAGTTGAGTGATTGAAAAGGGAGTAACAGCTAGATGTGGTTAAAAGTGAAGTTGTAAGCATTGCGGACCATGGACAGATCACCACCCCTTCCTGGGCCTCCGTTTCTCTGTAGGATGAAGAAGTGGAAGTTTGTAGAGCTTCTGCATGATTGGGGACTTAGGGCCTTTTCACTTAGGATGAGTTTGCTGCTTATCTAACTTGAATTGGAAATTTAAAATCACTTATTTGTTCTGCCAAATAAAATAAGCCCATGGATGGTCTAAAAGTTAGAAAAACAACAGTATAGTAGTTAGGCAGCGCACAGCTCTGCTCTGTGATGCTCTTTAAATTACCAGTGTTGTCTCAGCACTATCAGAAAGGCATAGAATTCTCCCTCCTGTCACCCTTAAAAATTTTTTTCTAAGAATTTGAAATCATCTTTTGCAGAAATGAACGCATCTTGCCTTTTCTTCAATGTGAGATACTGGTATTCTCTTTGGAATGGGAATGCATATTCCTGTACATATTTAACAGAAGGGTTCAATAAAAATAGGTCATTTGAATATGTCAGCATTTTAATGTGATAAGATCTGGTGTTAGGATATGTGCAAGAAATTAGTATTTCATTAGCCTAAGGAAGCCTCATGACAGCCATTTGTGGTGACTTGCCTCGCGATAGGAGACCTAACCTTACGTGGAGTACAGCGTCAGAGAACGAAGAGCTGGTAAAGATGTTGCAGTGTAGACTATTTTTTTTTTTTTGAGACGGAGTTTCGCTCTTGTTACCCAGGCTGGAGTGCAATGGCGCGATCTCAGCTCACCGCAACCTCCGCCTCCTGGGTTCAGGCAATTCTCCTGCCTCAGCCTCCTGAGTAGCTGGGATTACAGGCACGCACCACCATGCCCAGCTAACTTTTTGTATTTTTAGTAGAGACGGGGTTTCACCTTGTTGACCAGGATGGTCTTGATCTCTCGACCTCGTGATCCACCCGCCTCGGCCTCCCAAAGTGCTGGGATTACAGGCTTGAGCCACCGCGCCCGGCCTGAAGTGTAAACTATTTTTAAGTTCATTTTTAAGAAGCTACTCCGAAGGAAGACAAGTAGATTTTAATGGCTAACAGCTTCTAAATGACAGGCTGCCTTGAGAAAAAGTGACGTGAGAACAACAAAGTCTTGTTATTTCAGCAGATGCTTGACTGAGGGTGCTATGTCAGGGAAGATGCTGCCACAGACTATCCACCCTCTGCTTGTCCCTGCTTTCCCCCAGTGGCTACCCTCTTTCCATCCAAAGCAAAGCTCCAAAGGAGGAGCTTTTGCTGGCGCCTGGGAGAAGCCGTCTGGTGAGCAGCAAGCAATTCCAGAGATTGTCACTGTGAAATTTTTACTTACCGCACATTATGCACTTTGTGACTATGTGTCTCCTCTCATTTTGGGATGGCATGAAGGTGATGTTCTACACATCTTACGTCTCGCTGTTTGCTGACATTTAACTCATTGCCCTGCCCAACTCCCTTCTGTCTAGTTCTCTGTGCTGCTTCTCAAAGCCTTGCTGCAGCTGAACACAGCCCCCTGAACGTGGCTGGCTGGGGCTTATTTGGGGTCAGAGCCCATCAGAAGCATGCTAGAGACAACACACCAATGATTGGTCTTTAGTGAAGGGGATGGGTCTAGGGTGCCAAGCAATTGCAGGCTTTACTGGTACGTTTGAAAATGAAGGAAGAATGGAAACCAGGAAAGAGAAGCTACTATTTTCCTTCCGATGATTACATTGGAAGGAAAACCTGCTAAAAGTGGCCTTCCACGGCTGGTGTCCTTCTCCAGGAAATTTAGGGCAGAAGGAAACATCTCTGTTTTTCCTTATGTCTGTTTCTTTGAAGGCATTAATGAATGATGAGAATTTTCAAAGCCTGTACGATAAGTAGCAAGTCCTTATGGATGCAGAAGGAAACTAGTATTTCCTGAGTGCCTCTTAAGTGCCAGGGATTCTGGTCGGACTCATATTATTCCATTTTAATAAAATAAGGCTGTGAGGCAAATGATTGAAAAGGTAGATCTGGAATCTGGGGCAAACTGAGAAAGGCTGGAATATTTGAGTCCCACTACAGCAAGCCTAGGAACATGGAGTCACACAGTGATAGAACTGGAGAACTAGGTTCCACCTCAGATGTCTGCTGCATCACCCCAGCAGTAGAAGGCACACAGGCTGGAATTTAGATGGCCAGTCTCTACCACTGGGTTCCTCTGAGTGGCTGATTCTGTTTTCTTGCTTAAAAACTGTAAAGTGGTGTACTAATATAGACAGATGAAGACCGTTTGCTTTCACAGATGGGTACCCAAGAAGGCATTTTTTTGGTTAGGATTTTGGTCAGCAAAAGAATTATATATTTGCAAATATTATGTATTTGCTGTAGGTCTCTTGGTTTGTTTCACTTTACTGTTCTTTTCCTCCATTTTCAGAATTGTTTCCTTTCTGTGACAGATATTCAATGATAACCTTCTGTTTGCCAGGCCCTCTATTAGATGTTGGAGACAGGGAGGTGAATAACAGATAAATTCTTGTCCTTTTTGAAGCACTGAAACCGTACAATTGATTACTGTTTGTTTTTCCTATGGGCGTAGGTGATTCCAGCCTAACTGACTTCTTCTTTTTTTTTTTTTTTTTTTTTTTTTGAGAATTTCAATGTTTTATTTACTACAAGGATAAGGAGGAAAACAGCAAAATAAATTTGATAATATGATTTACACTTTATTACAAGTGATTTTCCTAAAACTCACAACTTTCACATTTGGCTGCGTGAAACAGAGAGAGAGAAAAAAGGGAACTTTCACTAGTTTTAAGTAGTGTAGGCCAACTCACATGATCACTCCAAATGAGAGAGTTTAAATGAGAATGAGTACATTTCTTCTAGCTGGGAAAATATTTTCCTTAATTGTGTTTAAATAATTTACCCATAGTGATGAATAAACCCTTGGGCTAGGCTCAGAAACTTCCTCTACCAGCTTGTTTCATAAGAATTAAAAAAATATTTATGAGACATACATGAGATGTATATATATATTTATATATATATATTTGGTTGTAATAGTAGAGACAAGGATTTTTAAAAATCCATACTATTTCTCTTTCCGGTCTCTTTCTCCTAAATGCACCTTCTGAGTTTCTTAGGTATGCTTTACAAAGACTATTTTACTTAATGGATTAATGTGTTCATCAACTTTAGCACCCTATGTGTGTGTGAGAATGGGGCTATTTAAACTGCTTCCTCATAGCCTTCCCCTTCATTATGAGTAGTAAAGTTTACTTAGAAAACAATGAGGAAGAAGTACCATAGCCCACAGGCACCTAGGAATGGGGAATTAATTCAGACTGAGAAAATATAGCTCTGGAGAGATACTAAAGTCGTATTGGAAATTTATGAAGCCTAAATGAACCCTTTCTCCCCAACTTCAGACTTAGATAAGGTGTGAGATGTCAGGGATGTGCATGGACCCTTCAAAAACTGATATTTTCATCCGTGTTCTTCTCCCTTCCCTCCCCTGCGAGACAAAATATACGGAAATACAAGTGCTTGGTACTACATGCTGTTAAGGCTTAAAAGCCCAACAATAAGCACGCTGTATCCGTTGTTGAGGGGGATCACTTTTTAAATAAACATCACCAGAAGAATCTCTTCAAACGGAGAATGAAGTCACTCTCCCTCCCCAGAGGCTATGAGGGAAAAGGGAGACAGATATTTCCCCTACTTGCACGTGGGATCTCCCTTTCTCCGCCTTGGGAGGTAGCTGAAAGAAAAGGCAACGCTTAGTCCTCCATGGCAAAGTCTTTGGTCTTCTCCTCCTGGTCTCCCACTTTGTAACGCAGCAGCACGCGCAGGCGACGGGGGTTGTCCCGGGAGGGCAGCAGCGTGATCTCTCCTGATAGTCCGTGTCTTGCTCCACTTGCACCGGCTCGTTCAGGTAGAGGAGCGCCTGTTTCCAGTGCGTAGCCGGGTGAAAAGGCGAGGTGGACAGCACCAGGGGCTTCTCCGACTCCCCTCCTGGGAAGGTCACCTGGAACCAGATGGCAAAGCGGTGCATGGGCGCCGAGCCATAGCAGCTGCAGCGGAAGCGCCCGCCCACTCCGGCCTCCAGCTCCTGCTCCAGGCCAGCGCGGGAGAGCTCTAGCTGAGCAAAGCGCTGCGGCCGGGCCAGCACGTCCTCGCCGGACAGTCCCTGCACCACGATCTCCGAGTGGCCCATGAGGCAGCGCGTGGCGAAGCCCTCCAGGCAGCTCATGTCCACACCATAGTGCTGCTTCACCTGGCTCCAGAATCCCAGGCGCCATTCCAGCATCTGGTCGCTGACGGGGGCTATGAAGAGCTCGGCGGAGGCCGGCAGGAGAAGACCGCCTTCCTTCAGCCACTTGGTTCGCGCGTGGAGGACGGAGCTCAGCATGGACTCGTGCAGGAGTCCGTAGCCCATCCACTCGCTCACGATGGCATCCACCTGCTCCGGCAGCTCCACAGTCTCCACCGGGCCCGGCAGGACGTGCACGCGGTCCTCCAGCCCGTTGAACCGCACCACCTCCCGGGCCTGTTGCCAGATGGTGCTGGCCTCCACCACGTACACGCGCCGGGCGCCGGCCTGGGCACAGAAGATGCTCAGAATGCCGGTGCCCGCTCCCACGTCCAGTACCGTCTTGCCTCGCAGTGCTGCCCAGTTCCGCAGGATGCCCAGACGGTAGGCATCGGTGCGGACGCGGTCTGCGATCATCTCCTCGTGGACCGAAACGTCCGAGTAGCACTCATAGTACAGCTGGTCCTGCTCCCACCTAGTCCTCCGGGGTCGCTCCAGGGCCGCCTCCCGCTCCGCGCCATCTTCCTCTTCAGTTCCCTCTCCTCCTTCGCCGCCGCCCCCCGACTCAAGCTTTCTTTTCTTGGGCTGCGACATCTTGGCCCCTAACTGACTTCTTAACATTTCTGATATATTTATTTTACTTTTATTTTATTTTTTTTTGAGGCAGGCTCTCACTCTGTTGTCCAGGCTGGAGTACAGTGGCGCAATCTTGGCTCACTGCAACCTCCGCCTCCTGAGTTCAAGCAGTTCTCTGCCTCAGCCTCCCAAGTAGCTGGGATTATAGGTGCTGCCACCACGCCCAGCTAATTGTTGTATTTTTAGTAGAGATAGGGTTTCACCATCTTGGCCAGGCTGGTCTTGAACTCCTGACCTCGTGATCCACCTGCCTCAGCCTCCCAAAGTGCTGGGATTACAGGCATGAGCCACTGTGCCCAGCTGACATATATATATTTTAAACAAGTATTAAACCTGGTTTTGTTGCCACTTCAAGGATGCAGTGGGACTGTGGAATTGGCATCTGTGTGTGGTGCTATGCAGCAGACTGTTACTTGAGTGTTAAACTGTTCGCCTCACATGAAGTGTAGGCAGTTGAAGATGTTTGAAAATCACTGTGTGGTATTTTTGCTGTTAAACCCACCCATTTATTTCCCATTATGTTGAAGAAAATTTTGGTTAAATGGTTGAGCTTTGTTCAAAAAATGAGTATCAGCTCTGAGTGGCCAGGGTCTCTTTTCCTCTTCAGTGTGCCCTTGGTTTCACCAGGATGACAGGCAGGTATAGTCCAGTCCCAGGCCCTGGACTGTGGACTAATCCGTAACAGGCATTAGCAGTCCCAAACCTGACTAGCTTAAAAGTTCCACCAAGAAAACCCGTGGAACGATCTTTGCAATGTGGTTTATTTTGAGTCTCAAGTTTTAAGATAGGACCCTTGTTGTTCCATTTCTTTTCTAGTAGGTGATCCTTTCTGGCCCTTGGAAGTAATTCCTTGGTCACTTTTGGTCCCTGTTTTGGTTGTATGAGATGTGGTCAAGAGGAATGATAAAAGCTCTACTATCTGATTCTCTTCTGATTTTCAGAATGGCTTATGGCAACCTTTGATGCTACTCGAACTGCTCCAGTGAGTTTTGATTAATTCATTCAGGCTGTCAGTGACTCAGCAGCCTTCTGACTTCTTTCTTGTTTTTAAAAGGAGCCGGACTTTCACGATACATGGAATATAGTTAACATATTGCAGCTAATAAGTGTGGCACATAGTGATAGGTATCCGTGAAGGGGACTAGAAGAATGTCACAGACAGGCGAGGGAGGTCAGGAGGACATGACAGCTCTGCTTCTGTGAACATGAGGGCAGGGGATGTTTTTTGGGCATAAAAAGGAATCCAGGAAAGTCAAGGTGTCAGAGCACAGGCAGCAGCAGCTTAGGGTCTTTGGGGTAATGTGTGTGGAGGGGCGGGAATGATAAGGCCGCATTGGGCAGCCTGTGAGTGCTAAGCTGTAGGCCCTGTAGTGCTGTGGCTATGGTGGAGTAAGAGAGTGACCTAAGGCTTCCCAAAGATGCATCTGGCAGAGCATAGGATGAATTGCCCAGGGTTGGAAATGGGTGGAAGGAGACTGGTGCAGAGCTAGAGACGCTGAGCTAGGCCAGGTAACCCAGGCTGGATGAGGGCTCTGAAGCTGTCCTTTGGGCAGGGGTGCCAGGCTAGTTGAGGTGGGGCTTAAGGATGGGAGGAGTAGGCTTAGGAGGTAGAGTGCTTTTGGCTATAGGTGAGGTGAGTTTCTGGTCTGCCTGCATAAGGCATTTGGCAGCTGTTAGCTATGCCAGTTAAAGGCTTTTTACTTTTCTGGCAAGACTCTGCAAGACTGGTTCTCTCTTCAGTGTTTCTCAGGTGGGGATGGGTAGGGAAGATGTGAAATTTAGGAAGAATAAAACTACCTCCATTACCTACACTCTTTCTCCATGATTCCTTTAAAATTATGTCTAAGATCATAATTTGACACACATTTTTCAGAAGAGCTCTGAGATATTTTTCATACCACAGCAGATGCTTCTGGGCACTCAGAATTTTTATCAAGTAGCTGGTTCCCATGAAGGAAGAGAACTGGCACCAGGCCCATGTGATGTAACATGGCCGTTACCTGTGATGCCGTGGGCTTCCCAAAGCCCTACTGAGGCCCACTGAGTTGGTGGGAACCAGGCTACAAGCTCTTTGCCTTTGGTGGGATAGCCCCTCACAGATTCAAGTCCTTCCACGTTTCTGTTCACTCAGCAGCATTCCCGAGGGAAGGGTAGGCAGGCAGGGCTATGGTGAAGGCATGAAGTAGAACTGGAGAGTTTTTGTGGTATAGGAAAGAAATTCCTCAAGGACCTATAGCTTCATTAGTGCCGAGCCAAACCAACGCATCTGACTCTAATTTCAGTAGTATTCCTCCAGAAAAGAATTTCAGCTAGGCGTGGTGACTCATATCTGTAATCCCAGCACTTTGGGAGGCTGAGATGGGAGGGTTCTTGGAGCCTAGGAGTTCGAGACTAGCCTGGGCAACATGGTGAGACCCTGTCTCTACAGAAAATTAAAAAAAAAAAAATTAGCTGGGCATGGTGGCATGCACCTGTGTTCCAGCTACTTGAGAGACTGAGGCAGGTGGATCAATTGAGCTCAGGAGGTTGAGGCTGCAGTGAGCTGTGTTTGCATCACTATACTCCAGTATGGGCAACAGAGCAAGACCCTGTCTCAAACAAAACAAAACAAAACAAAAATCCAGAGATTTTAAGGATGAAAAGTCCAAGGAAGGCCAGGTGTGATGGCTCACACCTGTAATCCCAGCACTTTGGGAGGCCAAAGCTGGCAGATCACTTGAGGTCAGGAGTTTGAGACCAGACTGTCCAACATGGTGAAACCCCATCTCTACAAAAAAATACAAAAATTAGCCAGGCACGGTGTCTCACACCTGTAATCCCAGCTACTCAGAAGGCTGAGGCAGGAGAATTACTTGAACCCAAGAGGCAGAGGTTGCATTGAGCTGAGATCATGCCACTGCACTCCAGCCTAGGTGATAGAGTGAGACTGTGTCTCAAAAAATAATAATTATTATTATTATAATGAAAAAGAAAAAGTCCAAAGAAAAGAGAAGTGTATTACATATAAAAATGTTTACTTACTGATTAGGCTTTGGTAACTAGTTGTTTCTTTAGTAGGAATTTTAAAACTGTCACTTAAAATTTTTCTATTAAGTTGAGAACTTAGTAAGTATGATGAGACTGTCAAATTATTTGTAATCAGTAACTATGCAAACCCATGAGCATAATGATAAAATTTAAACTTTCCATAGAAAAAATTTAGAAACAGTTATGGTTTAATGTATTCTACAAATACTTAGCGTCTGTGGCAACCTGGATACTCTGCTGGGGCTGGAGACCAAATACCCAATTCTTTTTTTTTCTTTTTTTTGAGATGGAGTTTCTCTCTTGTTACCCAGGCTGGAGTGCAATGGTGTGATCTCGGCTCACCGCAACCTCTGTCTCCTGGGTTCAAGCAATTCTTCTGCCTCAGCCTCCCGAGTAGCTGGGACTACAGGCGTGCGCCACCATCCCCACCTAATTTTTTTTTGTATTTTTAGTAGAGATGGGGTTTCACCATGTTGACCAAGATGGTCTCGATCTCTTGACCTCGTGATCCACCCGTCTGGGTCTCCCAAAGTCCTGGGATTATAGGCGTGAGCCACCGCGCCCAACCCAAATACCCAATTCTTAAAGTGGGTAAGAATGTTTAATGAATTGATTCTGCCATAAATTCATGTTTATCTGTCAGAATCTGAGTGGAAAAAACTCTTGTTGAAGAACTTAGAGAATTGGTAATAATTAGGATGCAAACCATTTTTTGAAATCCCAAAGTATGGGCTGGGAGCGGTGGCTTCTGCCTGTAATCCCAGCGCTTTGGAAGGCCAAGGCGGACAGATCACATGACCAGCCTGGCCAATGTGGTGGAACCACGTCTCTACTAAAAATACAAATATTAGCCAGGTGTGGTGATGTGCGCCTGTAATCCCAGCTACTCGAGAGGCTGAGGCAGGAGAATCACTTGAACCGGGAGGCAGAGGTTACGGGGAGCCAGGATCATGCCACTGCACTCCAGCCTGAGCAACAGAGCAAGCCTCCATCAAAAAAAAAAAAAAAAAGAAAAGAAAGAAATTCCAAAGTGTGTAGAATCCAACAGAAAGCTGAAAAACAAGGCTAATGCAGTGGTAACTTTTAATAAAGTTCTGCTCCTTAAAGGAGTTTTTAATTGATTGTAACAGACCTAAAACAAATCTGAAATTGTACAAGTGAGTAAATACTAAATGTCGTGGGATGAAATAAGTACTTGAGAATTGAGATAAAGGAGCAGCACCAAGAATGGTTGGGAAAATCCTTGCTGTGGGCGGTGGGACTTGAACTGACGGGCAAGATTCCTGAGGAAGTGAGCAGAGGAGACTGTCCCTACCAAGAGGGTGACCTAATGAATCCAAGAAAGAGGGGCTCTCTGCCGGGGCCAGTGCTCATGATGTGTGTGGAGGGCAGTGAAGGGTGGAGAGGCAAGACAGTGTAGAGCTGTTAAGAGCATAGCCTGATGACCCTGAACTCCCTTCCAGGTTCCTCATCTGTGTAATGTGGATATATTAGTACCAGCTTTGAGGGGTGACTAGGATTGGATGGGATGATGAGTGACAAGTTCCTGATATAGGCCTGGCATATAAAGTATTGACTAAGCTGGGTGCAGTGGCTCACACCTGTAATCCCAACACTTTGGGAGACCAAGGCAGAAGGATCACCTGAGGTCAGGAGTTCAAGACCAGCCTGGCCAACGTGGCGAAACTTTGTCTCTACTAAAAATACCAAAAATAAAATAAAATAAATAAAAAATAAAAGTAGCCAGGCGGGCACCTGTAATCCCAGCTACTCAGGAGGCTGAGGCAGGAGAAACACTTGAACCCGGGAGGTGGAGGTTGCAGTGAGCCATGATCACACCATTGCACTCCAGCCTGGGCAACAAGAGTGAAACTTCATCTCAAAAAAAAAAAAAAAAAGTGTTGACTAGACAGAAGGTGATATTGCCACTG